ATTATCAGCTGTCACAAGTGTAAGCTATAGATAAAACTTTTCACTTAACAGATGAAGGATTACCCAATAACAATTGTTATTTTTTAGACCAAACAGAATATGCAGGATTTAAAGAAGCTTTTTGTGCCCCTTTTCACACGCATATATGAATCTCCATTGCTAAAACCATCTTCCTGCTCTGCAAGCATATCAGCTCTGGCACACGTTTTGAAACCAAAGTACTTTCCCCACAAGATGCCACAGCAGTCTTACCAAATCAGCACCAGCTTGAAGCAACACATCTGCAACATCAGTATGTCCATTTTCACAGGCATAGGTCAAAGCTGTATCTCCTGTCGCCGTGGTGGCATGAACATTAGCTCCTAGAAACACAACAGCAGTTGTTTCTTATTGAAGAGCTCCTTATCAAGTATTTCATATCAGATAAACACAAAAATCGAGGCACTTTATCTGTGACAACAGCTATATCCTGCTGACCAACAGCTTCCACAGCCCAAGGGCATTGCTCTCCTAGTAAGAATTGCTCTCAGTAAAAATACCCTGAGGAGGGGGATAAGCCAAGGCTCGGGAAAGGCTCGACTGGCAACCTAAGCACTTAAACCTATACACTCACTTATTCCTACATTCCCTCTACAGCAATGAAGATTTCAGTTGTTACAACAAATAAAGGTGAATCCAGACAGTTGTCTAGACCATGCATTTGACAGGGAGCTGCGTGCCAATGGAAGCCAGACAAAACACACGTTATTGAATTACTATTAATCCTACAAGACTGTACACTTCTACAAATTTCATTTCTTCCCTGCTCTTTAAAATCATTTGCTTTAAAGCCATTTTGTTGAAATAATTTCACCAGCTTCATATATGCCAGCTACTCAAAAATTATGCACGATTCCTGCTACGTAATACGTTATTCTTAAAAAAAAGCCAACATGATTAGCCATTTTCTCATTTTCAAGGTGTGAGATATATTTAGAGCCGCCCTGATGCCAAAACAAGGCTCCTCAATTAACGTTCTACATTATCAGAAGTGAAGTGCAAGCAGTGTTCCAAGTGTGCTGGTGACGGGTGTCACATGCTGGTATCACTGCACAAAGAGACACAGTTGTTACTGTCCCTCGGTGAGCAGGGAGCTTGCTTCCTGGAATTACAAGTCCAGACAATTTCATGCTTATTCTTAGAAAGGAGCATACAAATAAATCACCTCCCATAACAAGGAAGAGTTTAAAAAAATGCAGCTCCTTTTTATTTATTATTTTAAGCAGTATTACTCCACTTTAGCCTCTACCAACTTTCAACTGACAGATGCGCGTTGAAATGTCATTTCCTCTCAACTCCTGCAAGATTTCATTTTTACCACCACATACTGTAGTAGTAAACCTCATTCATCACAGAAACTCAGCATGTTCCAAAATCTGTCTTGCACGCTATTTCCCAGGGCACAACTCCTAAAGCAGGAGCAGCGTATAAAACCAAGCGTCATCTGTATTAACATGGTGCTAAATGCAGTTAGCTGGGAACTGTGCTCCTAATGAATGCCGATATGGCCTAGATGGGCAACAGAACCCAGTGCTCCACGCAGCGCTTTCCTGCGTTAACAGTATCGAAGAAAATATTGGGAGGTGTAATACGCGCTTTTTTCTTCTTGCTAAGGTACCTGAGAATAGTTTTTCTTGTTACAACACTGCCTCCATCAAGCCCAGGTGTCTTCTAAATCACACAGGACATCGAGCCTATAGTATGTGTGGGCTAGGTCATTTGCACTGTGCACATACCTGCTGCCAGCAAGTATTTCACCAATTCAAGATGACCCTCTTGAGCAGCTTCCATCAAAGGTGTTGAGCAACCAAGTTCTATGTCAGCTCCTGCCTTAATAAGGAAGTCGGCTACTTCTGAAAACCCTCCACAACACGCCAGAGTAAGAGCCGTTTCCTGCGTTTCTTCTGTCTGTGCATTGATATTCGCCCCTAGGAAACAAAATAGCTGTTATTTTAACTGACCAGACACAGCGTAGGAAGGTGAAAGCCCATCACCCTCCACAGTGTGGGTGTTTTAGCTTTGCTCTGTCGTTACAGCAACAGGCAGCGCAGCCACACGCTACATCAGAGGAATTTGCACAGAATCCTAATGGCAAACAGTCAACACTGCATTCTCCATAGCAAACGCTCAGGAAACAACAGTGATCTCACCTTGTGCCAGCAGCAAGGCCACCATCTCTTCATGGCCTTCCCGGGCAGCTTCCATTAGAGGAGTATAACCTTCATCATTGACTTCCTCCAGGTTAGCTCCCCTTTCGATCAGAAGAGCTGCTAACTCCACGTGTCCACCACAAGCAGCCAGAGTGAGTGGAGATTCAAACGAATCTGCAGGCATATTGACTTGAGCACCACTGTCTAAAAGCAAGCGTGCCACTTCCACGTGTCCATCCTACAAAACAAAGGCAAACACAAAAATCAGAAACAGTGGAAGTCACTTAATGCCATAGTTGCAACCACTATCATGCTAGGTCTCAGAATGATCCTAAAAAGACAGGGTCACGGTTCAATTTATGACATAGTTATGGCGATACTTGGATTAAACTGACATTTAGGTCTCCACCTACATCTAAGTCAGGTTTAAATGCGCATGAGGAAAAAGAGCTAGATCTATGTTGGGTTTTTTTTTCCTTTCTTGGAGGAGTAGGAAAAGCATTATGTGATAAGACTTTCTTAAATATCCAACAAAATAGTTGGGACACAAAAGTAATAGAGGTAGCAAACAAGTACCGTAAGTAATAAACCCACTCCATGACTGAACATCAAAACAAGCATCAGAAAGAAGATTTCCTTTTTCTTTGTAGCTGATTCAGAGCTTCTGCAGACAAAAAAAACCCCCTCCAACTGGCAGTTTCTAGATCCTGGGAAAGATACCTGCAGAGAAGCTAAAGCAGGTTACAATAAGCTAGGTAACAGGAGGAGGGAAGACTTGAATAAATCTTAAAGGACACTGAAAAGTACCTTGAGGTAAAGCAAACTCTGCTACAGAGAGAAGAGAATTAGGATTGCCAGAGCAATCTGTCTGAGCCCTTACCAACCCAAGCATACAAATGCAGCTGTCAGCTTCTCCAGAAACTACTCCTAAACTACTACTTGAAATAAACCAAGTAGCAAAAATTCATGTTTCACCTGAGGTGTGGTTTGTAGAGAGCCACAGTACCTCTGAAAACGTAAAGAAGTTTTGGCATTAGGAAAGAAGAAACACTCACATGGTTTCTCCCTCCCACATAACTTAAGAAACTGGGACTCAAACCTGGGGAGCAATCTGGAGAAGACATCCTGGAAAACTGAAAGAGATTACAAACTGTACCCCATGAAGGGGGAAGGTTCAAGTCATGCAAAGCATGTTCAGTGAGGTACAGAAGGTCTGAGGGTCTGATCAGAGGACATTTCACACTAGACCCTTCTGCAGCATACACAGCTAATAGGATAACTTAAGGATGGAGAGGGAACTCCAAGTAAGAGACTTGCATCGAAGCACGCTCTTTGTATCTCCCAGTGGAGAGAAAACCACTTGCTGCCTCGCATGCTGCAGGTGCCTACGTATTAGGTGCATCAGCTTGGTCACTCCATTTGCTATCTACAGAAACACAGGTCAGCCAGCTTCGATGATTTAGAGCCCTGTGTCCTGACACAGTGGTTCTCCTGGGGTTTGACAGTTTAAGCTGGATTCATTCTTTACACTAGCCCCAACGCATGCTGACAGATTTTGCTAGAGAACTCAAAAATACTTCTTTCTGAGGAAGACGTTAAAAGGGTCGATTTCAGTGGCAAATAGTAGATGTCTTTAGGTTGTGTCCTTAGAAGGAAATCTGAAAGAAGTTGGGCAATACTAAAGGACAAAAAAAAGACATTGGAAGACCTCCCTGCCAAGGTTCAAGCCAGAGCTGTCCAGGCTAAGGCACTGATACCTAGGGGTGATTTATAAAGCTATAAAGCTGAGAATTCCACTAATTCAAGAACTTCCTATGTATTAAGAATAGCAACCTGAAGCGAACCAGCCATTCCCCACTCTGATCTCCCCAGAACTGTCAGCCAGTAACTCAAACAGCTAACACCGAGCTACAGAAAAGGGGGCAATAGGGGTATCCAACACACAACTCTTGTCAACACTTGGCTGAAGCTGACCATGAAGCAGGCAGTAAGCAACCCGAGATTGACAGCAACTGAGTCAGTAAATTAAAGACAGGCTGCTGTTCTCTGAGAAGCTGGCTAAAAGCCAACAATAACCTCATCTAACTAAAGGCATTATCCTAGGTGTGGCACTCTTATGACCAAAACATACTAAAACTCCGAGGCAATTACGATATAATTGATGCTCGGAGACCAAACATCTCAGCTTCCTGTATTTACAGCATTCATTAGTTGGGAAACAGCGAAGACTGGGAAAAGTCACAATAATTTGGTGGAAAGGTTCCCTTCTGCAAGGGTGCAGCAGAAAGATAACAAGGAACAAATTCCATCGTTCGACTTGGGAGTTGGGACTGCAGAGGATCCATTTCCCCCTCTGTTGCTTTTACAGGTCAATATGCAGTCCGTAATGCAAACTAGTCTGAAACAGCCAAGAGATAAAAACGTGCAGGCAACCCACACAACTTCATCTTCCCCAGGTGAGACACTTCACAGCCTGCAAGTCAACCCAGTGCTCAGATGGTATCACCACGAGAGAAAGAAGAGGGGGAAAAAACCCTATACCTAAACAGAACAGAGGGCTGCTGAGAACATTTAGTTTGCAGTCATGCTGCAATCTCCTTTAGGTGACAGCACAGACCCACTGGAACTGCGTCCCCCTGACCTCCCGATTGGCACTAGGCTCTCAGACAGGGAGGACTATTCAAGGGTACTACTACCACCTCACTATCAGAAGACTTCAACACAGCTTGAGATGTTATAATCTGACCTTGGTCACTTGCATCATCACCTCACAACTGCACTAAAAGAACACTTGATCCTCCAGCTCTCAGGAGATTGGAGGAACATTGCAGCCCATCTTCTACAGAGTAGAGGCTAATGGGAGCAAATGAAGTCTTCCTCCGTTTGCCGTGCTTCCTATGAAAACAAGGTCCCTCCTGTTTTTCTTCAGAGAAGTTCCCCAGCTTGAAGAACAGATAAAAGGTCGCCTACGGCCTGGACAACTATGGCTGCAGATATGCTTTGACACAATAGCACAATCTTTATTATGATGAAGCTCTTGGAAAGGGAAGTTTATCCTCAGTGGCTGCTTTGAAATTATATGAGTTGCCCAAGAACCAAGAACGAAGCTACTCTTGACCTACTGTTTTGTTTTCAAAAGAAAAACCTCACGGCACCATATACAGAAACCTGGAAGAGAGCAAACCATCGCTGCATGCAAAACACTTCCTGCAGCAGTAAAAGGACGAGCGTGATGCATTAGTCACCCAGCTCAGTGCACTCCAGGAAGGCTCATACTGTCGTGGTCCGAGAGACCATATTTATAAAGACAAAGGTGGAAAACTAACCCTAACACTGCAAAAGAAACCATGACTTGGGCTCTACTACTTTATTGCTCTGTAGATGAGTTACCCCTACACTTCACACAGGAAACATTTAAAACAACACATCACCCCCCCAGAAAGTAGACTAATTTTTCCCTATGACCAATTAGACTGAGAAGCTGGCTACCTGTGGGAACTGCAGTAAAGGTTTTCTTATGATAAAAAGTAACACACACTCACTTGCAGTCCCAAACCAGCTCGTTAGCAAAGGCTCTCTATCATCTCTTCTATTCCTCTCTCATTGAAAAGGGAACAGTAAAATTAAAGACTATTTACCATGCAGGCCTCCATTAGCGCCGTGTGCATCTCATCTGTTTTATGTTCTTGATCAGCTCCAGCTTCAAGCAAAAAACGAACCATGTCTAAATGGCCTTCAAATGAGACAGATCAAAATAAGCATTTAATATCATAAACTTTTAGTAGTACAGACAATACACTTAAATAAAATAATTCAGGTTTTCATAGTTTGCTATCACAATTTTTACAAGTTACAAAGGGCAAACCTGCTCTTTTTAAAGTATTCTAAAAAAATACCAATGCAAAACAGCCAGCCAGACTTTAGACGGCCTTTCCCAAAGATCCTGCCCAACTACGAGATGAAGGCAGACCTCTCTCATTCAAGTTTACACAACAGGAACCTTTCCTTGTGACTTCAAGCTATAAAAGACCATGCTTATTCCTTATTCAACCATGTAGCGGCATCTCATGTGAGCGTTCCAAGGCAGCGTACAACTGGGCGGGTATTATCCTTTAGAGACAGGTCCATGAAGGTCCGAACTTAAAGCTTTTTAACCACAGCATTCACAGACATAATTCTGAGAACCAAGATACATTATGTCACGTTATGCTACCTGACACTGTTTTTAAGAGCTTCTACAGAACTTTACCAATGCTTGGTTTCAACTCTGTTGTGGCTTCTGCCATTTTAGAATTTGTCCCTTACAGGTTATACCTTTCATCCTCTCAATGAGCATCCTCCTCCAAGACAAGACTTAGTTTACTGTAAAATTGATGGGAAAACAAGGTAGCTCAACCATCTTGCCAAAGATAATACAGGGCATCTCCAGTCAATTAAGATCTTGCATTACATTGCTCTATTAAGTTTTAGGCCACAAGAAACAAGAATGCCCCTCCAACATATCCAGGAGTACCACTACTGAAATTTCTCTCTAAGGAACTACTATATGCTGCAGGAAATCCATGGCAAATCCAGATGCGAGTTTTCAGATGGGTTATACATAGTGTTTAACCTCCAATACTAAACAGAGAGGCAAAACCTCTATAACAACAGAGGTTACTATCACAATAATCCACTCACTTAAAGGCTTTATTAGGAGAAAAACAATTGTTGGAAATTTTATGGAGGTTTTTGGAAGAAAAAGAAAAACTTAGAAGCACGTTGGATTACCACTGCACTAAGCTACTCTATATAGAAACTTCAAATAGCAAAAGAAATTAAGACAGAAGTCCATAGAAGTTCCTAATAACATAATTCATAGACATCCTCCAACATTACACCGAAGGAAAAGTATCCGAGAGTAATATTAGCATTTTCACCCCATCAGGTATTCCATTAAGATTCGTTCTAACATCACATTTTCCTAACATCTAACAGAGAAGTTTTCAGAACTTGCAGGTAGTTGGTGAGGGGAATTCTGCATAAACTAGAGGATGGGGTAGTGGGGGAAGAGGGTAGTGGTGGTGTGGCCAAGCGCAAGCCTGGACACAACCAGTCATGGGTTTTCATCTGAAACATGTTGAATGCATGCCTACCACATTGGGACACAAGTAGACAGGCTGAATCCCACTACACCATGGATGAGCGTTTCCTGACATAGCATTTAAAACCAAACCCAGTATTCCAAAACTCTTAAGAAAATATTCAAAGCACAGCTGGAAGCTTTAGTTAGACAAATCCTAGCAAGTAAATTTAAACCAAAACACAAAACAAGGCAAGAGACAATACCTTTGTAGCATGCAAGTGTAAGTGCACTTTCTTTGAACTCGTTGGAGTGAGTGTTGATTCCTGCACCATATTCCAGCAATACTCTTGCAACCTCAACATGACCTGCGCTGGCTGCTTCCATTAAGGGGGTATGCCCATTCTCGTTGTGGTCTTCTATATTAGCACCGGCTTTCAATAGCACCTTCACTATGTCAACAAAGCCCCCAGCACAAGCGTAAGTGAGAGCTGTGTTCCCTGCAGAGAAGAAGTTGACATGAAAGCCTTTTCCATCACCCACTCATAGGACAGGAAAGGGGATGAGATTTAACACCTCTGAACAAAACCAAGTGCATCACAACAGCCTTTTACCTCACAGCAATGTTACTCCAGCCTATAGTTTCAGGCTGGGTATAAAATCCCAACAGAACTATAATGGGAAAGGGTTTTAATGCCAAGCCAATATTACAAATCCAGAATTTTTTTTTCTTTATTATGTTTCCTACTTCAGCACACAGAGAGAGATCAAACACATACAAAGAGATCAGTGAGAAAAATTTCTATGCTCACCGTAGAGTTGGGGGGGCTGTTTGGGTTTTTTGCCTGTAATCCCCTGAAAAACTTACTGGCTGGATGAAAATAAATTTGTAATTTAAAACTCTGGCACTGTAAGTAACAGACAACCACGTGTGGCTCATGCTTTAAATGCTACAGCCAATTTTAAGGTAAGTTCTGCTTCATATGGCTAAACATCAAGAGAGAACATTTCATAGTTCAGACAACCTGACTTCTCAAAAATCTGAACAAAGTTTAAATTCTGTCTTAATATTAGCAGAATTCCACTGAGGCTAATACTCTCAGCTGTGGTCAAGCATCAGCAATGCAGACAACACTCAATGCTCACAGAATCGTACCTCCTCCTTGGAAAAAAGCAACAGACCGAAATAACCGGTCTTGACCAGATGGGTCCCACGGTTGTCGCACTGGGTAATTTTGGATTATACAGATGAGAAAAACTAAAAGCCATGTATTTTTCTCGTCATGGAACACCACAGTGGTTTTCACAGGAACAGTGCTTTCCATTACAGTTTGTATTAGAAAGAATCTTTAGTAATGGCCAGACAAGACTCTAAGCACATCCGCTGTCTATCTTGTCTATTCTTAATAGTTCCTGTCATGTCTTCTTGTGAATCAAGTGATCAGACAAAGCCACAGGTGTCCAGAGCAGCTACACAGCTCGTGTGCCAGTCTTACTAATCCTTTGTGTTCCTGCTTCCCAGTTACCTGTTGAGGACTGTGCGTTGACATCTGCACAATGAACAAGGAGAAGTTTAACGATATCTACGTAGCCTCCGCTGGCAGCTGCCATTAAGGGAGTTATGTCTCCTTTATTCCCTCGATCTTCAACGTTCGCATGCATTGCTAGTAGCACCTATAGAAAAAAAGTTCACTTTAATGAATAAATTGTAACACCAACATTTTTGTTTTAGTTCAGTGGGGCTTGCAAGAATGATTCCCCAGCCAGCCGTAACATCCCCTTGCAGTGACACCCCCAAAGGCGAAGCACAATGGCAGGCCCCAGGACCATCTACAATTACCACCTGCACTGTGCTCTGCTACAGAAAATGCTGGCTTCCTACATTTGTTCATATCTGCTAAAATCAACATTAAATTACAGCACAATAGTGACATTTTCAAAAGTCACAAGGCAATTCACTAACCAGAATGACAGCAGAGAAACCGTAAGCTTGCATTAATGACCAGGGCACACAGCAGGTCCAGCTTACAGGCAATCAGGTTTCTACCTGCACTCTTGCCTGGCACCAAACCATGAAGCTGGCCACTTTCTGAGAACTATTACCTAAACAGCTTCAAAGCAGCACAAATTCTGCCCCTAGATACACAAGTATAAAAGCCAAAAAATTAACACAAATTAATGCACTGTTGATACAGTGCATTAAAAGAAAAAGGATTGAGTGACTGAGACGTGACTTTTTAGAAAGTAACCACTTGTAGTGTTTGATTTTGCTGCTATTTTAGATCCTCTTGCAATGCCTGCTTGGCAGAACAGCTTGACTGCATCTAGAACAATGCCAGAAAAGTAGATAAATCATAAAAGACGAGATATGTTCCTCAGATAAGTCCTTTAAACCTAGAGGCATATATGACAGCATTTCCCATTAAAAAGACCAACGACAACTGGAAGTCCAGAATAAACTGTATTAACTGGTATTCTGTTTAGATTACAAAAAGTTATAATCAAGATAGCTAAAATGTTTACCTATCAAAGAAGTCCCTTAGACAATGCTTCACAGAGGTTTAGTTGTGATTACATCTGTCCATTACTTGTGCCAATTCATAATATCCTGCTCAACAGGTTTTTTAAGGAGACTCTCCCCTTCTTCAGTATGTTCATTTACACTTCTTCCTTCATCCAACAGCTTCCGGACAGCATTTACATCCCCATCTGAGCATGCTTCTGCCAAACTGCGACTGGAAAATCAGTTACCACAGAATAAGCTCAAAACAAGCCTGCAATAGACGGGTAGCTTTCCCATGCAAGGAAGAAGTCTTTGCTTAGAAACTCATGACATTAGTACTAAGCCTTACTAGAACATACACCTTGCAGATTTTTTCAAGTATATATGTACACACACACATGTATATACACACACACATTATTTCCATAGGTAAACAGAGATAAAGACCTTGCTTATGTATAAATTAGCTCTTGTCCTCATCAGCTGCTAACTCACATAGGCTCTCATATAGACCAGATGCAGAGAAGAGTGCTCAAACTTGGTAATTTGTGGTGATTACAGGATATGGACGTAAACCTCACCGAGGCTATTCATGCTTCAGTGGAATGCCAGACGCACAGAGGCCGTGAGCACAAACTACTGACTGCAGTCAGTACCAAGTACTCGGTACCAAGGCAAGTTCCTAGTAGAGTTAAGTCCAAAGAGTGCACAGCTGAGTATCAGAGAGACCACCAGTACTGAATACTGCAGCAAGACAAACTTCTGACCATCCTCTCTCCTGCAGTGGGACTATTTCCTTCTCTGCCCTAGCCAAAGGTTTTTTCATTTAATTGAAAACACCAGTTTCATAATTTAAGCAGCCACTTCAAAGAAAAATCCTTACCTTACCTTACCTAATGCCAACCTAAAGGAAGAAAGGGGAGGAGCCTTAGAGAAGTTCACCGTGTTTCCTTCCACGCGCTGGTACAAGTGCACTACAGCAGCTTTCAGGTGGGTGAAATCAGCCGAGTGAACTGCACATTTCCTAAACAGCACTAACACCACAAATCCTACATGGAACACTGCTAACTCATCCTCAAAAGAGCCGCAAGAGGTAATTACAAGCTAAGAGTTAGAAGGAAAAGACAAGACAAACACGGAATTCTTGGCATCTAAGAGCTCAGAATTCTATCGTCACTCCTTTAACCATCATTAGCCTCTGAGGCAGAAAGAGCAGCGACTTCCCCCGAGACCTAGGAGAGCACGCTGAACAAACTCTGAAAAGGGTGCGCTGAGCTTCTCTTTCTTTCAGACCAAGTCACCTGTCCTTTAAGTCTTTCTGTACAAAAAAAAAAAAAAATGTTTAACAACAAAGACAACTGTTAAAGCACTGCTAAACACTGGCATAAAGAAGAGCACAAGAGCAGGACATGCTCAGTACCAACACAGCTGCACTTCTCCAACTGATCATATCATTTTATTTAGGGAATATATGCAAGGAATCGTGGTCCCTTGGCCACTGGGAGCCAAGCAACTCCCACTGGGAGGGGGACGGGAGGAAGAGCCTGCTGTTATAAACAGCAGAAGACTGCATGTGATGCATTCCTAGCAATGTATTTTATTTGCAAGTTATGGAAGCTTGTTTCTTAAAACAAAAACCAGTACTCTCAGATTCCTTAAAAACCTCAGACTTCTACTTTCCTTCTGTAAAAGAGTTCTCTTGAGTAATTCACTCACAATGAAGAAAATACCCTTTTGAGCAAAGTTCCCTCTGAAAAGGATACAATTTTCAATTGTACAAAGACTGCAATGGTTAAACTATCTTAAGCCTCTATTTTAAAAGGAACTCATCTGCCATACACTCCAAGCTGAAATAAACGGTGCTAGCAGCTGCTAGATCAAAGCTGAGGTCTGACCTGAAGAAAATACCCAGTTTCTGATCACTTGCATTTGCATTGTAATCACTAAGTATTTTAAGAAAAACAACTGATATTTTGGTCAAGTTTATTATTTGGCTACACAGTCAAGCCCATGTACTGAAGCAATGGGATCCCACCAGAAGGCTGCAGGATGCTACCAAACCTGCCACCTTCTCCTGGGAGGAGATAAGGGACAGCCCCGCTGCAGCCCACCCGTCACCGGGTGTTTACAGCTCAGGTTCCCGTGTTCAGCTGGGAGGAGAGAGTGGAGATTTGTGCACTTCTGCACACACTCGGCCTAGCCTTTAGAACCGGGAGCTGCCCAACACCATAACCTCCAAGACAAACCCTGAAACACATCCATAATTCTTGAAGATGACCCTAAGCCAGAACTGCTGTGAAACCAAATATGCTCTGGGAAAAAGCTATTAAAACCAAGACTCTTAGCTGATTCTCGTTGATCCAAGCACCTCAGGAGGCCTCCCAGTTTGCTCCCTGCTCAGGTTCCCTTTGAGATATTTCCAAGACATTTTGTAAAATTGACAAGAATGATACTAGGATGCTCTTCCAAATGCAGCACAGGATGCTGCTCACCTTTGCTCTAAGGGCGCATTGCTGGCGCATGTTCCACTTGTCCACCATGGAACTCAAGTCTTTTTCTCCCAAGTTCATTTCCAGCCATTCAGCCCTCTCCATCCATACCAATGCACAGAGATATTCCTCCTCCCCACGTGCAAGACTCTGCATTTCCCTTTGTTGAGTTTCATAAGACTCCTGTTGGCCCCCTTCTCCTGCTTGTTAAGGTCCCTCTGAATGGCAGCAGAACTACCTGGCCCATCAACCCCTCCTTTCAGTTTTGTATCATCCACAAACTTGCTGAGGATGCACTCTGTACCATCACAGGATCATTGATAAGACATTAAACAGTACTAGCCCCAGTGTCATCCTCTGGAGTACACCACTAGCAACTTGCCCTCACCTGGACTTCAACTCTGAGTCTAGTAGTTCAGACTGTTTGCAATCCACCTCACTGTCCACCTACCAGGATGTGGGATACAGTGTGAAAAGACTTGGTAAAGTCAAGATAAACAGCATCCACTGCTCTCCTCTCATCTACCAACGTAGCCACCTCATTGTAGAATGCTTCATCTCCACTTTGTAAAACCATGCCGACTACTTCCCATCATAATTTTGTACTTAGGAAATGGCTTCCAGGAGGATTTGGTCCTTCACCTTCCCAGGGACTAAGGTGAGGCTGATCTGCCCATAAGTCCCTTGGGTCCTCTTTCTTGCCCTTCTTGAGGACAGGGGTGACCTTTGCCGTCTTCCAGTCCTCAGGAACCTCCCTCATTCTCCACGGCCTTTCAAATAAATTGAGACTGGCCTCACAGCAACATCAGCCAGTTCCTTCAGGACTCAGGGGTGCATCCTATCAGGTCACGTGAACTTGTCCACTGGAATACATCCAACCTGTTTATATGCTCCCTGACCTGATACCAAGCACTCCTTGCTCCAGACCTTTCTGTTCACATCAGAGGCTTGGGATTCCTGAAAGTAAATTTCAGCAGTAAAGCCCGAGACAAAGGCAGCATTCACTGCCTTCTCCTCTTCTGTGTCCCTGTCACTAGGTCCCCCGCCACATTCTGAGGCAGGCCCTCATCTTCCTTTCACAGCTGACATACTCACACTGCTCTATCTTGTTGCCTCTCACACCCTCTGCAGATTCAACTCCAGGTGGGTTTTGGCTTTCCTAATTACATTCCTGCATGCTTGGACAGCATCCCATGGGTCGCCTGGCCTGCTTTCACCTCACCTCCTGTATGCTTCCTTCTTATGTTCAAGCACATTTCCCCAGCATATTTTATCTCCCCATGTTTTGATGCACAAGTAATTTCCCTAGCTTCAGTTAGAAAATGAAACTATATTTGTGTTTATGTTCTGAGCAATGACCCACGGCTACTGCCCTTACTGTCAGCACTTTGTTATGCAAATCCCAAGTCAAATTTCAGGAGGACATCCATATGAAAGGAAACTTAAGACTTGCAGTTTTGGATCCTAGACCTGAAGTTCAACCATACATGCAGTCAGACCATCCCAACCGTTTAGGAGCTATTTGCATCACTTGTCAGAGTAGAAAATATTTCAGGACCCCTAAAGAAGCTTGGAAGTTACCAACGTAGAAGAAAGCTTTTGACAACTTAGAACAAATCTTTGGTTCTGTCATCAAGGGAATCAAATGCCATCCTCATTAATTATCAGTTACAAAAACTTATCAGAAAATACAGTTTCATTTTCCCCTAAGTTCCTGAGCAAGTTTCTGGGGCACATTTCTGCCCTGTAAGCATTAGTATTCTCTTCCAACTTTTAACACAATGAAGCAGATTCATTAGTTTCCAACAAAGTATGCTGAGGCAGTGATTACAGAACTATCACCAACCCTTCTACAGTGAAGAATTTAACCCATTTTTGAAAAAGAAATCAACTGTCTAGTACACAGAAAGAGCAGCAGCTTAGAAAGTAACTTTTTTGTACTTTTCTCTTCCACATTGAAGCCAGTAACCTGATGGGACAGTAGTTACACCTGCACACCTTGCTCCTGCTAGTAGCAGAGCAGATATAGTACCACGTACTAACTATAAAATTAACTGAATTTGAAATTAAAGATCCAAACTTACACTCTATAGTTAGGAAACGGGGGGAGGGGAGCGATCAATACGTACTTGTCCACTTGTCCTGCATTGTGATTGTTCTCTGCTCTCATCCGCGTCAATGCAGCGGCAGCTTCATCCAGTGCACAGCTGACGGAGGACGTCAGTCTTCGGAGAACCTCGGGATCTGCGAAGGCTTTACCATCGGCAGTGGACAATTTACCAATTCCTTCAGTGTACGTTCGTTCATCAGTCAGGTTAGTATGAAAGTCACACAAAAGAAATGCAAAAACACCATTTTAGATTTCAGCCACATGCACTATTAGTTAAAAATCATTTGCAAACATGCCGGAAAATCAGCTACTTAAAAGTAACTGTCATCATTTGCCTAAGACCTGGACATTTAATTACCTACATTATGGCAGTAAGAAAACTTTCTCAACTGGCAGCTTTATTACCTATCCCAAATTCCCAACCCATACCTTTGAGGAAAAAAAAACTAAAACTAAAAATAAAAATATGTCAGGGGAATAAGGGTAAGTCCAGGGGTCAAGCCCAAAAACAGGAGTTTGGGAAACAGGTATTATCCACGGGCTTGGTTTAATGTTTTCTGAATGGGAAGAATTTTCCAACTTAAAACGTGAAGTTATTATCCCTTTCCCACCCAGCTCCACCCAAAATGAAGTAGACTTAGCCCTAATATACATTTTCTTTAAGAATGGGAAACATTTTTAAAAGTTATTAGTTAATTTCTCAGTAATTTAACATTCTAAACTTCACATCTCTAGCTACAGGCACAAAGATTATGAAACATAATTTCAAGTATTTTAAGTGTGCTTAAAAATCAATGCCCGCTCTACGCTAGCGTTACGCAGTAGAAACGCTCACTCAAGGAACTCCTGCAACAGCTTCTTTTTTAAAAACCGTTCCTTTGCTGCAAGACTAAAACCAAAGGCCAGTACAGAACCGCACCATAAGCGGCATTTACCCCGCGCGTTTACACGGCTGATACAAGACGACGGTACAGCTGCGCAGTTTTAGTCCCCACAGGTGGCCTGAAACTCCACTCCACATGGCTCAGCGCAGCCTGGAGCACAGCCTGCCTTACATATGCAAACACCACTGCACAGTTGCCTCTGCCGTGCAGGCAGGGCTTACACAGGTATACACAAATGTGCAAATAGTGCAAAGAAATGCACTGATGGATAGTATCCCCCCCAAAAAAAAGAAGAAAAAAAAATCAATTTCACATGCCACGAAAAGCACATGGATCCTGGTGAACAGATTAGCTTCCTTCCCCAGTGACGGATCAGTAACTTTTCATTACTTAGCTGTTAAACAAGGTCACATTAGATAGAAACCTCTGAAAATAACGCATCTGATGCCTCAGAGGATTTGCTGTTTGGTACGTGCATATCTGTGCAGACGAATTTACACCACGTCTCCCACAGCCCAGCTTGTAGCTATGACAGAATAAATACTGCAATCACACTTTGAAAGTTGTGAACGTTGTCTTCAGACAATATACTTTCCTGGGTTGAGAGCATCCAATTTGTTTCTCATTAATTTAAGAATCAATACTTACCAATTTTCTCCAGCCTGAAAACAACTTGGGGCAGCACGCACTGGGCACGCTCTGTTCCGTTACCCTACGTCACTGCTGCAGTGCCGGTAAGCGTTGGCTTACAGTACTGACCTCAACGCTTTGCTGGAAATGAAGAGTCGTCCCTACCCTGTTGTCAAGGCAGACACCTACGACGGGGTGCAGAAGTTTACTTGGCCAACCGAAACCGAGCATGGGCTATGAAGGTTGATCCTTGGTCAGATCCAAGTGCGCTACCTCCCTGGCTCCAACATCCTACCTCTGGATCACTTCAGCACTTGCCAAGAGGCTAGCACAACAATTCATAATAAATTACCCACTCCACGATAAAACAGGAAGTTGCAACTAGATGTGCCCATGCCACACCTGTCTGGGTTTCAAAGACTGTCAAGGGCACTGCAGAGCAGCACAGGGCCACGAGCTCCTGGCTCCATGGACTTGAAGAGGCTACCAGACACAGGCCCCCTTCCACCTCCAAGCTGTTGAGGCCATAACCTTTCTAGCCACTGCTGTTAAATATAGCGAGGCTATAAATAACAAGCTTCAAACATGACAGCTCCCACCTCACATGTTAACACAAACTGAATTTGTTGCTGGTTTGGAAGGGGACATCGGCTCTGCAGCGGTGGCAGGTGGAGCAGCGGGGGACAGTCACTGTGGAACCGCGCCGGGCATCGAGGTAGTACCAAACCCACAGAAAGTGACAGTTTCTACACGGATCTGCTTCCCCGGGACGGCTCACAGAGTAACTACACGGATTACTATACAACTATTTCTGGTGGCAGCGCTGCCGTACACTTGCTTGCAGCACACATGGAAGGACTGCCTACGGAAAGAAAGGGAATTAAGCCTTCACGGCTCAGCACCGAGGCCTCATCCAGGACCACTGCAACCAAAGCTGAACACCGCGGTAAGCAAAGTGGAAAAGTACCCGAGACAAATCCACAGCATTTAGGAAAATGACCCCTGAGCAAAGGCTAAAAGGAGTAGGTTTAGCTTACAAGGAGCAGCACAACAGCGGTTTCTCTCCACTTAAAAGGGTCTCATGAAGGAGCTGGTAAACTGCTCCACTGCTGGCAAAAGAGGAGGGAGACAAAAAGTCCAGTAAAAAAAAAAAAAACAACAAAAAAAAAAAACCACCACACACCAAACAAAAAACAACCTCAAACCAAAAACCCCAAAATGACCTGGCTATCTGAAACTCAACTGGACACCTCAGTCACTTCAAATCACTAAGGCAGCAGATCAGACGCCCTACCTAAACAAGCAGAACCCACGCTTGACTATCTCTCCATTTTTAAAGTTTGCAGGTTGAAGCGTCCACACGTGGCATTTGGGAAGGCAAGAGGAGTCACACTGCTGATCCGAGTCCTGTGTCCTGCAGAGACAAGCACCCTTCAGCCCCTGCAGAGCTCCCATGTTCATGGGTCACTGCTGGTGGTCTCCTGGAGGACTCCCCAAGCGCAGGGCACTGCGGCGACCTGGCGTGCCTGCCGGGCTCTTCCTTCCAGCCGGTAAAAGCACACTGACAGCTCACTACAGTTTCCTACTTTGTTGCAAAAAAGGTGCTATAACCACACCAAGGATTTCCAGAGGGCAAGCTGAAGATGCCTTTTATTTACCTCACCAGCTAGGGCTCAGCCAGGGCGCCATCCTCTGCTGTTAATCTCATACTTCTGCAGATGCCAAGACTAACCAAGAGCCACAGAAGACATCAGAGCAGACATTTCTTAGGCTGGATGGAGTAAAAGGGAGACAACCTGCAAGAACTACTGCTGAGACACCCATCATTCATTTCCCTTCTGCAGGTTTAGAGCTCCATCGCCATTGCCCAGTTTTTACTTCGCTATGATTTAGGATGACTGTGTCAGAATCTTATTGCTGTAATGCTCACGTACCTTTAAATCTCTTATTTAATTGGATTTGTGTCCACTTGATAACCATGTGCTCTTGTGTCACTCTCCCAGGTGTTTAAGACAGCCCATGCACACAGGGACAGCAACAGTCTGATCTAGACACAGGTGCTAGACTAAAACTCTTCTTGTCTCCCCCATCCAAAGAATCCTGAAAGCCTCCTCAAGACCATTCACCACATTTGCTCGAATTCATCCTTCTTGCACACAAGTCATCACAGTTTCTCACATCATTACAGTCTCACGAGCACATCACCGACTGCTGATCTGACACCACCTGCCCCGAGACCGAGCCTTTGACACGCTGTGCTTCCTGCGGGGCAGCAGCCCGTTCTCAGGACACAAGCCACCGCAGAGGCTGTGTAACATCACCTGCCCACGGTGATGAGCATACGAGAGCCGCTGTGGACCGTTTTGTATTGAGAACAGTCTACAGTCATTAACCATACAGAGACGGTGGTGTTCTCAATGCAAAGTTACAGCTTACCACTAAACTTATTAAGAGCATGTTCATGTGCAAACCAGAAGGAAGTACTTCCATGCAGTATGAGTTGCCACACAAGGCCAAAAAAGTGAACTTAAAAATAGACCAGATAATATTATTGTAAAGCCTGTGCCTTCTATTAACCCAAGAACAGCGGTCCTGGCAGTCACTACTTAAGGGCCATGGGAAGGACAGAGAGAGGAGAGGCTATCATCTGTCCTACGATCGCGCTGCTCTTCCCTCAGGCGCCCCGGCGAGCCCTCGGCAGGGCGCAGGAGCCAGACGCACCTTCACCCTGCCTTTGTGGGGCAGTTCGTTAGCCAAGCTCCTTCTGCTGAAGCGCCGTGCCAGCGTGTTCACAAACCCTGGCAGGGCCAAGGCCAGCAGTATTATCCAACAACTGAAAAGAGAGCGCTCAGCCATCCCCAGGAACAGGTTGCCCAGAGCAGCCATGGATGCCCCAGCCCTGGAAGCATTCAAGGTCAGGTTGGACGGGGCTTTGAGCAACCTGATATACTGCAAGATGTCCCTGCCCATGGCAGGGGGGTTGGACTGGATGATTTTTAAGTGTCACTTCCAACCCAAAAACCATTCTATTATTTTATAGTCTCCACTGACTGGACATAGATGACCTAGCTCCTCCCCATCCAAGACATCGGCACACAGACTGTAGATCTCTAAATCAGAGAGAAGTATGCCAAGAAAATAGTTCTGAATTTCAGGATCTGCAAGCAGATTAGTCCTTCTGCTAGGCCACAAACCACCAGTTCTATGGTAACAGATTCAGGCTGCAGCATCTGAAAAGGGTACTTCCACCACTTCAAACCAGTCAACGTGTCCACTACGACTGACTACTGCAAAACTAGGTTGTATCTGGAGCAAATGACCCTTTCCCAGAACTACCATGGCATACAGCACGACTGAACTTAGCGGCAGATGATGCCAGATGTTCCACAAGTTAATACCACACTATTGAACCATTGAACTATGTAAATTAGACTGAAGTTGATTACAGAGGTGTATTAGAACAAGAAGCTCACCTTCCAAGGGAAAAGCTTGCTCATCCGATACACACCTACGCACCTACAACCAGCACTTGGGTTTGAAGCACAGGCTTCCTTGCTGACTTGCAGACTCATCAGGATATTCCTACCAGGGCCGGAGTCTTAGGGTAAGCTGAAATGAGCTGGTAACCTCTCAGCATGATCTTTGCCAGTTTAACCGGTCAA